GCAGATGGCAGAGAACTCAGGAAACATATAAACAAAATCAGTTCTGAGAAATGGTTTGATTTATCCAAAGGGATTAAAGTTGATATGATAGGAAGAATTATATATCTCTTCAGCAGGCCCCAAAACACACAGATCTTGATAAATCTCACATGCAGGTTTTCCATTATAACCAGAAAAGGAGGCCCCAAAAAATAAAACCGTGGCAGTACTGTAAAAAAGGGTAAAATCAGAATGAAGGCAGATGACTACAGGGACAGAAGCATACCGAAAGGAACTTAGCGAAGCACTATTAACTTCTGCCTTGGCTTCCCATGAGCGCTTTAGTTAGAAAATGCAAGGCTTGTCTTTCCGTATGACACTGCTTTCAATATACTCAGCACTATTCACTGCCAACAATATCTGGAAGCTTGTCTCAAGGCTTAAACACCACCTTGCAGACAGACAACCTTTTCTAAGCATGGAACACCTCTTAAAAAAAAAAGAGATTTGGCCTTTCAGATACAAAATAAATACCAGCTGAGCCTCTAAACCTGTTAGGAGTTTAAGGTGGAAGATTAAGAGTAAAATAAATCAGCAAGGAAGCTTTTAAACCTTTAACAGGCTAATAAAAAAAAGCATGACCTTTTATCACATGTGGTAGATAAGAAAAGGAGATGAGGGTAGGATGTTAGACAGTAGCCTGGGACTGGGACCAGAACAGCAGTCCAGCAGAAGCTTTCTCCTTGCAGCAATTACTATTCCTGTTTCTATATAGGGAGTGAGGGCTTTGTCATTGCATTCTCTGCCCAGGTAGAGAGTAGGGTCTGGCATCCTTGTAAGTGATATTATCTCTTCCTCCCCTGTAACATGGACTCCTATGTGCCTAGCAGATTTCTCTTGGGAGAAGGGTGAGTTTAGGAAAGGCCCAGGCAGACGGAATTAAACTGAGATGTTTGGCAATGTTCTGCCATGCAGTGAAGCTCACTCCTGCTCCTTCATCTTCATAGTCATCAGCATGGTCCCCTCTGCGCACTTTGTAGCCACACTCCCACGTGTCCGAGCTGTCCCAGGCACAGACAACAGCAGCCATGAATGCTGCCTGATGCTGCAGTAAATCCTCTTCAGATATCTCACAGCTGTTCTCCTTTTTACCCTCTGCCTGAGCTCTTCTTTGCTTGTGGAAGTGCACTTTGAAAGAATTTGGCTGCTCATGCCAATGGGGAACTCCCACGAAAAGCAAGGAAGTTGTGAGCAACTTCTTAGTAGGGAAGGTACTCCTGTGTACTGACCAGAACGTCACATTTTAACTGATGTTATATGTGATGAAGCACAGGCTTTCAAGCTAAGGAACCCACCTTATCCTCTCCCACATAAAATTCCTAAGGATCTCCACCCATCAACTGTTATTTTCTGCTGCTAATATTTTTCAATCTCTAACATGAAGTAATGCAATGATTACTTTAGTGCACCCATAGACAATTCAAACAAAAAGATACAGGAAAAGAGTTATGCAACTGAAGACAAATAATTAACCCAACTTCTTACAAACTTGTCTAAATTCCAGAAAACTTCAAACTAAGGTTTAACATAAATTATCTTGGCATCTTTTATGCAAATATATGTATGTGTGCGTGGTTTGTACCGAGATGTTGATTCTCCACATTTTGTGTTTACTGTACTTGAGGGGCTAGGCTTTCACTCCCATAAATAGGCAGTGTTTTTCTGACGCCATTCATAATTTCATCTCCAAGGAATGATGCTAGACTGACAGCGCTGGAGTCTAAAGCCTCTTGTTCAGCCATTTAAAGGCATGGAATCTGTTGCGCAGCAAATATCCCTCACATCAACCTGCTTATATCTGTGGAGAAAGAAAGAAATCAAGAAAGCAGAAGAGTTCCCAGTACTTTGTCCCATTAACCACTGAAATTAAAAAAAAAAAAAAAGAAAATGCATTTGCTACAAAGTTAAGCCCACATCCAGAAAAGCATTTGAGGCAATCAGGTCTGCTGCTCTGAGCTGCGTTTATCTGAAAGGAAGAGAAGTGAGGCCCTATGAAAGGCCATGTTACCTTTTTCTCCTGAGCAGTGAGATTAGGGGTTCTCACAGGTGCGTGGGGTACTCCTTTCCTCCGACCTCTGTTTTCGGGCAGAGGATGTAGAGGAAGGCCACGACAGATTTCCTTCAGGCTGGCCATAGCTGCTGTGGAATTATCGGGAGGAAAGGAAAGGCAAACTGGAGAGGCACAAGGACTGGGGAGCAAAGTGTGCAGGCCAGCTCCCTCTAAGCGGTCGAGACGTACCACCACTCCACAGTGATCTCAAAGCAGACAGCCTGTTCTCTGGCTTTTGCAAACAGGCCGGCAAAGCACTGAGGGCAGGTGGCGCAGATGACACACCTACCTCCTCTGAGCCATGCCATTGGTTCTTCCTTCCTCCCCCAAAATGAATGATTCACAGTTTTGCTGTTTACTTTCTAGGTGCTTCGTCAGCTGGTGCTGTGCTAACCCTCTGGAGCAAACTCGGTCACTTTCCGAATCAGTTGATTCCCCCAATGGCCTAGTGAGAGTCGCGGTCTTGAGCGTGAACCTTGCCTGAGACCACAAGGACTGTGCCTTTGCATTTCAATAGCTGAGGAACTGACGAAAGTTATTCATCACTAGTCACGTCACTATCCACATACACTGTTCCAGGAAGAAGGGCGTTCTCTGTTTGACACCTCCAGGTACAGGCTGTCCCTCAGATCTGATCAGTTTGTCATCTAGAAAACAGCGGCTGTCAATGATAACAACAAAATGTCTACCCTTAGTTGTTAGCTCCTCTTAGCTCACAGGAGTGCCTGGGTTTTAGTAGAATTAAACCAGAAACACAGCAGCCTCATCAGCGGTGGTGGTAGTTTTCTCAAGACAGGCAATAATAGTGAGGAGGAATTAAGGCTTTCAGTTCTACGCCACTTCTGTATTCCATGGTCAACAACAATTGCAAAGTCTTACGATACTGCCATCCAGGCATCACAACTAAATGAACAAGCTTAACTTTGACTTTCCACTGAAAATGCAACATGAACTTTGCTCTCTGTTTCGAGCTGCTGTTGAAATTATACAGCAGACTCTCGATCTTTATTACATCCATGGAACTGAAACTCACTGTCATGGAATTTTCTCAAGTGCCACCGTTTAAGCCTGGTGAAATCAACTGGGAGAAACATTTCGGTTAGGAGTGAGCCTAAAACCTGGGAATAAAAAAATACCACATTTTCCCACAAAGGCATCAATCAGCAAGCAATGACAACAAAGCACAGTTATTAAATGACAGCATCTCATTAATGTCATGTTGGCTTTAGCTCTAGGACATGCTGCACATCCCCAGCTCCCACTGGAGATGCTTGAGTTGAAAGACTCGGAATATCCCAGGAGAGCTGAGCACACAGCAGACTCAAAGCCTCTGAAGGATACTAATGTCATTTATGGCAGGAGAATTTTGTTTCACAGTTATACAGCGTTTTAGCTGTTTTTGAACAAAAGGCAAAGACAAAAAGAGAGGAAAAGCTCTCCTTCATGTTTTAAAAGTTTGTATCGTGTTTGTAAAAGTTTTCCTATTAAAAATATACAAAAAAGGAAGATAAGGGTAAAGTGAGAAAATTCTATCCCAAAGCATAGCTAAATAACCCTGCCTTACATAAACATTCCTACCCCAAGGAGAAATAAATCTTTCCTTGTGTTTCTTTGTATGATCCACATTCTCCCTGTCCCCCTAAGGTCTGATCCTGTGCACATGCGGGCACAAGAATAACCTCTTCTGCATTGGGACTGCCATTGGACCTGCTTCCCTCTGTGACATCAATCAGAAGTTAATGGCATTACACTGCCTTAAAAGCTGAAGAAAGAGAGAACGGAGCCAGGGAGGGAACTCACTCCCCGAGTTAAATTATTTCTGAGGCTAAGCACTTCCACACTGTGATGTTTACACGCTGCAGTCCTTCTGCCTCTCCAGGAGCTCTGGGCTGGAGTTACCCCTGGGCAAGTCTGACTTCAGGGTCATGCCCACTGTTGGGTACGTCTTTGGGGCAGGAAGGTGTTTCAGGGCATACCCCCAGCTTCCCTGGGAAATCAGAAGTCCCCGTGCTGCCTGGCATGTCCCAGCTCATGTCTGTTTGATTATGGAAACAAACCCCTCGGGTGTGGCTGGTTGAGCACCTTGTAATGTATATAAACTCTCGCAAAAGCCTCCCTCCTCTCCCCAAGCCCTGCTACACCCTTGCCCGTGCCGGGCAGGGGGCTTTGCCCCGGGGTGGCGGGCAGCGCCCCGCTGCAGGGCCGCTGTCATGTGCCGGCCGCCTGGCAGAGGGTGCTGCGGGGCCA